TGTCTTACTGATCTCTTCTTCTCCTGGTGAGTCACCTTGTCTTACTGATCTCTTCTTCTCCTGGTGAGTCGCCTTGTCTTACTGATCTCTTCTTCTCCTGGTGAGTCCCCTTGTCTTACTGATCTCTTCTTCTCCTGGTGAGTCGCCTTGTCTTACTGATCTCTTCTTCTCCTGGTGAGTCCCCTTGTCTTACTGATCTCTTCTTCTCCTGGTGAGTCCCCTTGTCTTACTGATCTCTTCTTCTCCTGGTGAGTCCCCTTGTCTTACTGATCTCTTCTTCTCCTGGTGAGTCCCCTTGTCTTACTGATCTCTTCTTCTCCTGGTGAGTCACCTTGTCTTACTGATCTCTTTATCCGATTGTCCATTTATTTTTTACTCACCTTGCAGGTACATGGGTCAGTGTGTTACTGTCTCTATGTAGTTGCTGTCTACCTTGTGTTTGATGATTTAATATTGCTTTGTAACTCTACATATGGGAGGACCATATCTGCATAGACCCATATGGTAAGCATGTGTTATTTCCATGTGTGCTGAGTGCTGTACATAAGACTCTGACTGTGTTTGTTGCATAAACATGGCTCTCCTCTCTCTCCCTGGCCTGATAGTGTGGTGCTGTGTTACGTAGCAGCTCTAGCTGCAGTCTATGGGAAGAGTGTTGATCTGCTAAAGGCCCAGCTTAAACTGGTAAGTGATGGATGGGGGAGAAGTCCTACATGACATGATCATGATGCAAAAAAATATGTTTGAAACAAAACCATGTCCATGACCCATACTCAAGCTTAACCTTGTATAACAGTGTATTTAACTCTAACAGGAGGGACGTGATAAGCAGTTCCTGGTCAAGCAGATTGAAGAGCTGAGTAGAGAGATGGGGGTTCCAACAAGGGCCCAAGCGGACACCTTTGACACTGGTCCAGCAAACTGACTCAGTCACCAGGCTCAAACCCACAGCCCATATCCCGGCCCAAGGCACTCCTTGTAGATTTGATAGGCTTAGATAGGTTTTGCATGTGGCAATCGCACAAAGCACATATCTACACCTTCACAAAGCACTTTACAATTGTCACTCTCTAGTGTATGATAGCTAGGTTTATTGAGGATTTTTTAAAACTTATGACTGAGTGGTGGTTGTCTCACCTAGCTACAGAATCTTAAGATGAATGCACTAACTGTAAGTCACTCTGGATAAGAGCGTCTGCTAAATGACTCAAATCTAAATGTGGAGATTACCATGGGGCTTATGGTTAGTATAACAAAGCTTTAGATGTGTTTACCCTATTCCTCTCTCATAATACCTGTAACATCAATTGCCATGTTCATTGCCTTTGCATCCTCTTCCTCACCTCTTGCCTAAACGTCACTGTTACCATGGTTACCCCATGGTTATTCAGTGTGAAAGAAGTCGCCCTAAAAAAAGACGCAAGAGTCTCTACAAGCCAGAATGTTGAATAAAATTATATTTACACTTACCGGTTGTCGGTGCTGTTGGTCCTTTTCACCGTAGGGAGTGGAGATAAAATATATACAGGAAAGTATTGTTTACCCGACTTTTTGCGGCACTGGTAGGTTCTGTCACTTGTATTTTCAATCTCCTGAGGCGTTGCACATGATGCACAATATGTAAACAATAGCCGAATGTAACCGAACGTTGTCGACCGAAGCACGTTCCCTTGTGCAATCAGCTGGAAGTGCTTGTGAAATTTGCCAGTTGATTGTGTGGGACAGCGTTTGGTCTGTGGTTCTGTTAAGCTCGGCCATTGCCGTTTGTCATGGGTGAATTGTGTCAGTATTGAAAATACAAAAAATACTAACCAATATACAGACCTGTCCAGCGTACTGAAAGTCAGGTTAACACCTTCCTGTTGATATTTTGTCTCAGTTACTTCCGACATAAGGACACAATCAGCGGACAACTGGTAAAGCAAGTTAAAATGAAGTTTATTCAACATTCTGACTTGTAATGGGACTGTTCGGGAATTCTGAGCCTACATGTTAGAGACAAGAGTGTAAGTCTTTCAATCTCGGATTCTAAAAGAGGCTACCTCACCCCCACCTTTATAACATTTAATGCGTTTATTTTTCTAAATTGATTTAAATATTGTGTTTATATATATTTTTAATGTTCTTCAATTCAACAAGTTATTTCTCTAAGTATATATACACAGTATCTTGTGTATGTACTTTTATCTCTGAAATAAATGGAAAATTATAAGGAGCAAAATGCTCTTATTTCTGTCATGTGCAACGTACGCCCCCTGCTGACACGTGAGAGAACTTCTTCTTCTGTGGGTTTTATGGCGGACTACAACCAAAAAGGTGTATTGCCGCCACCAACTGGACGGGTTGAAAAACCAAAACAAGGTAAAAAGAAAATCCATTTGTGATATGGAAACTAACTTAATCCACCCAAATAAAAATAGTAAATTGACAAATACAAAACCACCATCTCTTCCTTCTTTCAAATCTCCATATCTCCCTTCTCAGGCTCTAGGGCCTGAGAGGGTGGTTACAGCTTGTGACAATATTCCATGTAACTCCTTTGCCAAGAAATCTTTCAACCCAGGAACCACTCCGCCGCATCCACAATGATTATCTTCTTGGACCTTCTCTCCACCCTTGGCAGTGGCATTAATCACCATAGCTATAAAGGCCACATTCTTAACCTTTAAAATGTCAGGGTCCTGCTGGTGAAAGGCATCCCTGCAAGCCTGCAGGTGAAGGCCTATCCACCACCATGGACTCTTATTATTTTTATTTATTTATTTCACCTTTATTTAACCAGGTAAGCCAGTTGAGAACAAGTTCTCATTTACAACTGCGACCTGGCCAAGATAAAGCATAGCAGTGCGATAAAAACACACAACACAGAGTTACATATGGGGTAAAAAAACATTAAGTCCAAAAATACAACAGAAATATATATACAGTGTGTGCAAATGTAGCAAGTTATGGAGGTAAGGCAATAAATAGGCTATATGCAAAATAATTACAATAGTATTAACACTGGAATGCTAGATGTGCAAGAGATTATGTGCAAATAAGATACTGGGGTGCAAAAGAGCAAAATAAATAACAATATAGGGATGAGGTAGTTGGGTGGGCTAATTTAGATGGGCTGTGTACAGGTGCAGTGATCGGTAAGGTGCTTGACAACTACGCTTAAAGTTAGTGAGGGAGATAAGAGTCTCCAGCTTCAGAGATTTTTGCAATTCGTTCCAGTCATTGGCAGCAGAGAACTGGAAGGAATGGCGGCCAAAGGAGGTGTTGGCTTTGGGAATGACCAGTGAGATATACACTGCTGGAGCGCAGACTACGGGTGGGTGCTGCTATGGTGACCAATGAGCTAAGATAAGGCGGGGATTTGCCTAGCAGTGATTTATAGATGGCCTGGAGCCAGTGGGTTTGACGACGAACATGTAGTGAGGACCAGCCAAAAGAGCGTACAGGTCACAGTGGTGGGTAGTTGTATGGGGCTTTGGAGACAAAACGGATGGCACTGTGATAGACTACATCCAATTTGCTGAGTAGAGTGTTGGAGGCTATTTTGTAAATGACATCGCCGAAGTCAAGAATCGGTAGGATAGTTTCAGTTTGTTAACAGGGCATGTTTTTGCAGCAATGAGTGAAGGAG